CGACGGGCACCAGCCCCGGCAGAGCCGCCGCCGGCCCTCCCCCGGCCCTCCCCGTCCCCCCAGCGCCGGCCGAGCAGTTCACTCACACACAGGCTCCCCGCGGGGCTCCCGGGAGTTGCTCGGGAGCGAGCTGCGCCTTTGCCGGAGCCTCGGCGTCGGAGCCGCTGTTATTTACGGCAGGGCCGAGCAGCCTCTGGAGAAACCCCGCTGGAGGGGGAGCGGGGGGAGGACCTCGGCGGCCGCTGACAGCTTCAGCGCGGGCGGCTTCGGGGGGCGCCGAGCCGAGCGCCCGCTGCCGAGCGGAGCGGAGCGGGTGCGGGCGGCGGCGGCGGCGGCACTTTATAATTAGCGAACGCGGGGAGAGGGCGGCCTCCCCCAATCGCCGTCGGGCTCCCGCTGACGCAGCACCTACGACATTCCCCCCCCCCGGCGCCGCTGCCCCTCCGTCAGTGACTCCGACGGAGCTGGGGACGGGAGCGGGCGGGTTGTGGCTGTGGTCTCTGTGTGTGTGTGTGTGTGTGTGTGTGTGTGCCCCTGCCGTCGGGGGGAGCGGGAGACCGGCACCGGGAAAGTTACCGGGGGGAGTTTGCACCGGGGGCGGGCGGGGATGAGACATCGGCGTGAGTCACGCCGGGTGGGGGGAGGCATCCCGGGGGTCCTCGGCGGCAGCCCCGCTCCCCGGGCCGGCGGGCACCGTTTCCCCGTGGAGCGTTGCACAGCGCCGGGGAGCAGGGTTGCGTTTGGGGGTTTTCGGGTTTTTGGTTCGGTTGGTTGTTTTTTGTTCGTTGGTTGTTTTGGTCTTTCTTTTCTCTCTGCCGCCCTGCCAACACCCCAAGTGGCGGGCGCCTTCTGCCTCCCTCCCTGGGCCTCAGGTGTGGACCGCTGTGTTTGGGGGAAGCAGGTTTCACTAGAGCGATCGAGAAGACAAGGTCTGTGGTTTGAAAATATTGGAATTTCACAGGTATGGCTAGATTTGCCTTATTTTCACAATTTTGGTGATCAGGAAAAACACAGATAGGAAGGAACCAGATAGAGGCAACACCCTAAGCACCTCTGCAAGGCTCTCAACGCCAGCAGCTGGGGCAGCTCACTGCTCTGCTCCGTTTGACAGCCTGCAGAACTGGCGTAGGGCGATGACGCTGATGCCTGGCACCTCTTGTTTGTAGAGGGCTCTGCCTCAGCCGTGCCAAGCTGCGTTTCTTTGACTGTCAGAAGCCACCTTCTATTTCCAGCCCCAAATTATTTCTAGTGGTTTATATTTATTTGATCTTCTTTCAGCATTGTCCTTGAGTTTAAAGAGCTGTTTTCCCCTTCCTGGTGTGTTTCTGGGGTGGGATTGTTCTCCCTAGTCCTCATTCTGCTGAAGTGAACAAGCTGTGCCCTTCAGCTTTCTGTCTTGAGATGGGCCCTTTTCATGTAAATGTTCTGCTCTGCATTTGCTGTACTTGGAGTTCATCATTTCTGGGCATGAGTGATGGGAAGAGTACACAGTATGTTGGTTGAAATTTCATTAGGGCATTAATGCATAATTATCTCCCCTGGAGGAGGAAGACACCTCAATTTATACCTCCTCAGATCTCATTTGCCTTTCCTAATGCTGCAGTACATCGATGTCACGCACCCGTCTGGTAACTGACATACGGCTAGGTCTTTATCCTTCAGAACTAATACAAAATCCAGTACTGTTATTGTATGGAAATTGCACTTTCTGCCACCTGCTAGTCTTTACATCAGCTGTCTGACTCAGATTGAGGACACAAATGAATGTTTGGATTTTCAGAAACAAATCCATGCAAGCCAAAGACATAGCTCTTGCGTCTAACCAGTGTATGTGAGAAGAGAATCAGGTTCTCTGTTTGTGCAGTAATATCAGCCAACTTTGTAAGTGAACCCTCAAGAGAAGAGGTAGACATTTTAAAAATCTTCCCAGTGGGTATATTTATGCTAGCATGTGAGGGATCTGCATTTGGAGCAATGAGCAAATTGCTATGCCGCTGAATCAACAGGGATGCTATACAGTTTGTTCCTAAGATGGTTAGGGAAGCGCTGACTAACTCCAGAGGCGACACATTCGGTGCTGCTTCTGCTGTAAAGATGCTCTCTACAAGCAGAGCTTTTTGTGATGGACATCATCAGATTAGTCCTCTGGGTCAGTTACTGACCCTCAGCTCTGCCATCATTTATTGGCTTGCACTCCAATAGTCAGCATGGCGTGATGGGACAGACAGCCCAGTAGCCTCCTGATTATTCCTCCTGCAGCGTACGTCCCCGGGCTGACTGACTCCCGCTTTCATCGCTCTGCACATGAGCATCCATGCTCAGCCTGCCCACTCGGCTACTCAGTCTGCCATGTCCTTCATTACTCTGTTTAATGTGATTTATTGTGTTTAATCTGGTCATGATGAAAACCCATCCAGTGTCAGAATCTCCCTGTGTACAGAGGTGTAGATAATCCCCGTAGATAAGATACAGACTATAACAGGAAAAGATGAAGGATGAGGTAAGAGTAAAGCATATAAAAGGACCAAATAAAAGGCATGTAAATTCTGTCTAGAAAAGGAATAACGGGGAGGGTTATTTTACAGTGGCTAAGTCTTATGGCTGCTGGTGGGGACCAGGGAAGAGGAAAAGATGGAAAGAGATCGGATGTGAAATGCATAGGTGCAAGGACAGCCTAAGAGAGAGGAGAGGTACCTGTGCACAGCCAGCACTGGGCAGAAGAAGTCCAGCCGTGGCTGTTGGAAGTGCTACAGATATTCAGCACTCTTTGGTTCATCTGCTTTTCCGTATGCTCTGTCATTTGAGTCTTTGGCCTTGTCCTGGTCCTCACCCTGCATCCTTACAGAAGTTGTATGTGTGTCCCCAGGGCCCGGCAGAGTGGGGAGTGGGAAGAAGGTCCCAGCCGGACTCTCGTTTTACCCTTTTCTCCCTAGGTGTAGCAGTGCCTGCTACACAGAGTCCTCTCCTTCCTCCTGAAAGACGCTAATATTCACAGAGAATGAGTAGTAATACAAGGAAGGAGTAATTAAGAAAATATTTCTTGAAGAGCTCACTTTTCCCAGTGTCAGCAGATGAAAGCTCTGTAATTTCCAGTCTGAGTTCAATTTTGTATGGGGAAAGTATTCTTTGCAGAGAGAGGATGAAAACAGGCGATAATTTGGAAAATTTTGACAAAATGCTACACAGCAAAAACTACATAAGGGAAATTACTCACTGTAGGAGTGGAGGATAATATTTCCTCAGCAACTGAGGACCAAAAAACAAAGAAATAGGGAGGCATAAAAAGAAAGAGAACACTTTTCACAGCAGTAAAGAGGGTAACTTGTTGCTCCCTACTAACTTTACCATAAAAAAGTCCTGGTGTTGATAAAAGCTTTGGCACTTACATAATCCAGAATTACTACAGACACCAACTGCTTTTTATCTGTCATCAAAATACAACAGCCAAAAGAAACCTGTTTGTGTGACAGTAGTGCCTGCAGCCCCAAGGGCCCTGTTGTCCTACAGCTTGCCCAGACTCCCAGACTTAAGCTAGAATAAGGTGAAGCCAAGATAAAATCATTTTCATTTTACTGATTGAGAACACAATTTGAATGACTTTACAAAGTTTTGCCAAAAGTGGGCAGCCGAGTTAGAAACGGAATCTGTCTCTCTTGGCTTTCACATCAGTATTTTTACTGCAGGACCAGCTTTCCTTTCCAAACTCTACTCATAGTGCTAATCAAGCTGCTACAAAATCATTAAATGAAGATGGATTTACGGAAATATGAAATAAACGTGCTGTTAGCACTCTAAGCAACCCTTCTCACAACACAGAGCCTTTTTGATAGAATTGAAATGAGGAACAGAGAATGTAAACCAGCATGTTGATTATTTTCTTCAGCTCAGTGCAAAAGGTCACAGCGTTTCTAAAGACCAAGCCGTCAGGTTCCATTTAGCTCAGTCAAATGGGCTTCATTTTTAATGGGAACATATATAACTGATATCAGAGCTGAGAAAGGCATTGCAGGTCAACTCTCCTACAGCAAACTTATCATCAAAGTAATTTAGAGACATGAGTTATTAATCTATAGATACAAGTTATGCATTGCTATTTTTTAAATATCTTTATTAAATTACGTCTGATGTAAGCGGAGAGGAACTGTAATACAGAGAGACGCTCAATGTACGGTTGGTATGGCATTGCCCAAAATGTACCTTTACAGGACAGAGATGTTCCAGTGCTTCCCATATCTCTGTATATCCCTTAATATACATCTAGGTGTATCATTTAAGACATGAAGAAATAAGAACAGTATCAGTGATGCAGACATTTCTGCTCACAGCTGCTGAAGACAATCTTGTATGAAGAACTGGAATGCTAAACTTTTCATCTCAGACAAAGCTGCGTCTTCTTAGTAATAATTTTGCCCTTGAACAAATTACACCTTTTTTAGAAGGCAAAACCATGCGCTGATGTAGTGGTGACAAGGAGATGTTTTCACTGAAAGAGCAATGACAGCTACTGTCCCTGTCTCACGGCTGATGTTGTGCAGCTTTCTAAGGCGGGAGGAGGTTTCACACTACTTTCTCCGAGTGTGACATGCATTCAGTATAAGCATACAACAAATGCCATTTTTGGTGCATTTGTTTACCTGCGATCGTATCAGACAAGATAAGATCGAAGCAGAGAAGTTTATACCGTTCTGTGGAGATACATGGAGATACGCTTTATTACATGCTTCTCTTTCTCACAGGCACATGAGTATGTGCACTCAAAGACTTCTGAGATCAGGCCTGAACTGCAGTAAGTAGAATGTGCTGCAGGGTAAGTAGAACAAACTGTACAAAATCTGTATTCGTTATAAAAGCATTATGCTGCTCATTTCCACAGAGGCCATGGGAGGGGTATTTCCAATAAAATAAGAAGAAAACAGGGTGCTTGGTAGCAAAATACATTGTGATGGAATCCAGGCACAGTGATTATTATTTAAGACAATAACTACTCCACATGAGTGGAGTGATTTATCCTCATTTTTTTAATTAAGAAAACTCAACCATGAATTACAAAGGAAGTATTAGGTTCCATCTATGAAAAGGATTGCAGTGTCTAATGCATATGTGGAAGGATTAGCTGAAAATTGTAAATGAGAGATTTTGATCACTTCAGTCATATTAAGAAAAACAAACAAGCAGAGTCTAAATAATGTATCTGAAGTGCAAGCTTCAACTATTTTCCCACTATTCACATTCGTACAGCAGAATTTTGGAGATTTTCCCCAGTTCCAGCCTCACATTTTCATTGCTAGTATTTTATTG